GTGACTCTGTGACTGAGTCTACTTACACGCTGGGTCACAGCTACAAGCTGTCTCATCTACCCTCACAGACATCCCCACAACCACTCTTCAAGTCAGTTTCAGCCAGTTTTCCAAACAAAGGAGCAAAGGCTTAGAGATGGTAAGGGGCTTGCTCCAAACACACGCAACTCTAGACCTCGGTTTCCTAGCCTGTGATATTCCACCTAATGCTTCCTTGTTACCCAAGAAGGGCTTAGTTTTGTATTCGGGGACCATGCAGGAAGAGGAAAGGGGGCTGGGGAAGTGGAGAGTAACTCGGTGGTAGAATGCCTGCCTGGGACACACAGGAAGTTACCCTCATTACACACATACATGCACGCATGCGCGTGCACACACACACACATGGACTGGCCTTGTTCTCCCTGATTGGATACAGAATTGAAAATATGCCTCTCAAGACCATTTCGGCCCTGATAAACACCTTTACTAAAAGTCATCTCACGTTCTCTAGCTGTTTATGGCCATTTCCAGAACCCCCAAATATGTAGTAATAACAAAAAATAAAACCAAAAGCCATTACGAACTTCCAAGTTTGAAGGATAAGTGATTCAGCTCCATTAGCCCCAATTTACATTCCTATGAGTTCAGCTTTACAAGAGTCTCTGTCCTCCAGCAATGGCCTATGAAATCCTGCCTCCCACAGACTGTCTAGTTGAGGTCCTCTGCTTTAATTCTGACTGCATTCCCTGGATCACATCCTCACTCATTAGGTGGTTCATTCACGCCTACTTATTATGGTCTAGGCTTAGTCACAGTGCTGTGTGTGTGTGTGTGTGTGTGTGTGTGTGTGTGTGCACATGCATGCACGGGCCAGATGTAGAAGTCAGGTTTCTCCCTCAAACTGCTCTCTCCCTTTTTTTTTTTTTTTTTTTGAGACAGGATCTCCCACTGAACTGGAAGCTCACTGATTCTATTAAACTGGCTGTCCAGCAAGCCCCAGGATCAACATGCATCACTCTACCTGGTTGTTTGGTGTGGTACCTAGGGGATCCAACTCAGGTCCCTATTCTTGCATGACAACCCTTGAGCCAACTGAGCCATCTCCTTGGCCCAGCAGTGATTTTTGTTTGTTTGTTTTTGTTTTTGTTTTTTGTTTTTTTTTGGAGACAGGGTTTCTCTGTATTGCTTTGTAGGTTGTCCCAGAACTATTTTTTTGTAGACCAGGCTGGTCTGGAACTCACAGAGATCCGACCGCCTCTGCCTCCCGAACGCTGAGTACTGGGATTAAAGGCGTGTGCCACCAACACCCAGCAGCAGTGATTTTTTTAAAATTAGAAGTCCAGTCTCATTTGATAATCTAAACCACAGATGAGAATGATGAAGACTCTTCGATGGTCCGTTTTAAAAGACCCTTCCATCTTTCCAGTTTATAGTCATCAGACACCTCATTTGTAGATGCTGTTCTCAGTGCTAAATACACAAAGGATTTGCTGCCCTTGAGTCTTGTACAATTCTAGGCAGACATGGGGACAGTTCCAAAATAGTGTGACAAGTACCCAAGCCCAGTTCTCCTCACAAATGAAGGGGACACCGATATTGGGCATCAGAAAGGATGGATACTAGTGGAGGAGGGCCGCACCACGGAATCCAACTTCCGGATTTCTTTTGGGAACACATTGTTGCTCCTCTATCAGAGGAGAAAGCAACAGCTCTGCAGGATTGTGGAGTCAGTGACTGTGCCTCAAATTAGCTGACCACAGAGGCTTCCATCAGAATAACTGATCTGAAGACAAATGCCACCCCCCCAAATACAACTTATTTTCTCAGTTCGCCTTAATCAAAGGACCCTGAAGTCTTAAATGAAGTCTGAAAAATGCAGAACATATTACCTGATAATAAAAGGTTCTGATAAAACCTTGGAATGGAAAGTTCAGGCAGAAGATTCCACAGGAAGTTATGAGACTTCTACATGGTTGAGTCATCACATAGACCTTGCCCATGAGCCATGGGATGGATGGCTCCTCTTCCTGTTCTTTCCATAGCTAAAACTTTCCAAATCTTCTAAGTACATTTCCATTGTGATGGAGATTTAGTCTTTGAAAGGGAAATATTCTAACTCTGATTATCTTGGGAGATCAAGTCTGGGGATGCAGGGTGGGGGTAGTGAGCATCCTGGTGTACCCTTAATCGTAGTCATTCCTGACAATGGTCACTTTTTATGTTGAGACCCCCATGCCTTTAAGGAACTAAAATGTGACAAGAGTTGAGTTCAGGGACTCTCAGAATTGCATCTGGAGGTCTAGACAGACATCTTGATTAAGCTGGAGCTTTCAAAGAATGAGTAGTTATATGTGTTCTGTTCATTCATTAGCAGAAGGTCTGGACTGTGCACCTGGCCTCAGTTTCAGTACTTTGAGATAAAGCCATTTGGTAAAGGTCTCAATAGTCACAATATTAAAAGATACTCACAATATTGAAGACTAAGAGCATTGGGGAAAGGCGGTAAGAAATGTTTTCTGAGACTTTCATTTTCTTTAAAAATAATAATAGCATTTCCTATGACAAATTATTTCCTAAAATAGGACAGATGTCATTACAAAAACCATTCATTTGCATGTGTACATGGACATCTGGTTGGGGAACACAGGAAAATTATAGAAATACTGTAACAACCAGACCGGGAACCCTGGTGGGTTGGGAAGAAGCCTTAAGGGATATTGTTGATACAGGCAAATGAACTACTCACAGTAGGTTACAGGAAAACCTGATGGGCTAGATTATTAGGCCAGGAAAAGTGTGAGAAGCTACAATCCTGAAACCAGAGAAGAAGCAAATATCAAACCTCCCAGACAGATACACAGGGCTGGGGTCAAAGCTCAGGAAGGGACCAAAGAGTATGAGAGCCCTTGAGGTCTGCTTCTATGCGATGGTGGTGGGGACACTCAGTGGGAACATTCAGTGAAGCAGCAAGACAGACCCTGTGACTTAATGGACTGGTACAGAACACACTCCTGCCCCAAATGCTTGAGAGCTGCCTATTGTGGCATCACCAGCTCAGCCTTCCTAGTTTGCAGGTGAGGAGGCCAGGGGCCCAGGGCACACAACCCTTTAGCATCAGACAGTATTCCTGTTCTCTTTTCTGTAATTCCTCAATTACTTGACATTTCACTAGGATACATGTTCAGTTCAACAAATAATCAGTCTCCACGCTGAGCCCCACACAAAGTAGTGATGATTTAAAGAGTCACAGCATTTTATGATCTAACTGCTGAGAGCTTCAAAACATATGCTGACTCCAGATAAAATTACCAATGGATTTAAACTATGTGGCTCAAAACCTTTAAGACAATGCTGAGTAAGAAAAAAAAAAAGGAAACAGTAATATGTGATCTCATCCTGCTTAAAACATACTTAGAAAACTGAGAAATTTAGCAATTCATTAATGATCCAAATTTCACAGGCTGTGACAAGGCTCAGAAGGTAAAAGCACATGCCAGCAAGCCGATAACCTGAGTTCCATCTCTAGGATCTACATGACTCCTACAAACTGTCCTCTGACCTCCATGCATGCCCCTTAGCAGTAATGTAGCACACAGACACACACACACACACACACACACACACACACACACATATGCATGCACGCACACACCAGAATAAATAAATGCATAAATGTAAGGAAAGAATCAAGGGTTGTGGGGCTTCCATAATATTGCCCAACAGATAAAAAGTATTTGTCACCAAGCCTGATGACCGGAATTCAATCTCCCAGGCCCACATGGTGGATTGAAACAGATGATACTCCCTCCCCCCCCCCCCACAAGTTGTCTTCTGGCCTCCACTCATGTGTCATGACAGAAACATGCCCCTTATACAGTAAATAAATAAGTAAATATAGTACAAAGAACCAACTGTTACAAGATAGGCTAGACCTGTGAGCTTATTTGATTTTCTGAGTGCTACAAGGGTCAGAACAGACCTAGGTAGCTTTCTTTCTCTTTTCATTTTCTTTCTTCTTTCATGTGTGTGTGAGGGGTGCAGGGGGGTTGTGCCTGCGCCCCGGATGAAACCTTGAGTCTTGGCATTCATAGACAAACACCCGATACATTGAACTCTTGCCCCAGACAAACTTCCCAGTAAAAACTGAAAAATGGAGCTCCTTTCTGCATGCAATCTCCACCCCAGAGGAGTACATATCCTGAGAGGGAATAAAAGAAGAGCAGACAGAAAGAATAAGCTGGAAATTCTGTTGAGACTGGAGTTGGGGGGTGGGAGCAGGGGTGGGGGGTTGGGAATGGCAGTGGTGGTAAAAACCTGGCCTAAGTGGAAGCTACCTAAGGGAGCCCGGGAGGCTGCACAGAGTAATAGGCTGCACAGAGCAATCACCGGATGTCCCAGCATCCCCGCCTCGGCTCTTCACCTCTGCCTTTGGGCTCAGGCACAGACTCTTGGGTTGGCGGCAACCATTGCTCCCTTGGTGTTGATACTACTGATTGAGCTGGCTGAGGGTTCATTGGGGAAAGCGAAGTCCGAGTAGGGATTGGCTAGGGATAGAGAAGAAGTTGTTCTTGTGGATTGCTGGGTACCAACTGGAAGACAAAGGTAGTTTGCACCTCTCTTCTACGTTAGTATCGTCTTCATATGATGCCAATTTGTTTTGGGAGAATAAGGTCTTGTGTAGCCAGGCTGGCCTCAAACTCTCTGTGAAGCTAAGGGTGGCCTTGAACTGCTGATCTCACAGTCTCCACCTCCCACGTGCTAGAATTACAGGCCTGCAGGACCACGCTGGCAACTCCGTCTCCTCGGATTTTTTTGTTGCTTTTTTTAAATTAAACATTAGTTAAAATATGCCCTGGATGCCTATATCTTTTGTGAACCCTCTTAGAGGTTTTTCTAGTGTTTAACCATCAGTGTGCAGCAGGGATGCAGGGGTGAGTATGCAGGATCCGCCCACTCCTCCCCTCCAAGCCAGCGTCATCGCCCCTTCCCCTCCCATCTCCAGCCACCCAGCACAGCGGCACCATTCTGGCCGGCCTCGTGAGAGCTCTGCAGAGCTGAGCAGACCCTGCTCTCTGCCGCCCACTAGGCTCCTGGCACATTCCCTAACCAGCGCCCGCATCCACCCAGATCCTTGCTGGGCAGTGCTCTGAGACCGGAGAATCCAGTAAGCGTCACAGGTAAGGATGAACTCCTGGGACAGGAGAACACTTTCGAGACTGTACTACTCCGGAACAAGGCAAGATCCCCAGGAGGAACATAGACAGGCACTGAAGGGACCATGCTTAGGCTGTCTTCAGGGATCGACCAGCCTTCTTTTCTGAGTGAGTTCTGGCCATCGCAAGGTTAATATCAGAAGAGCGATGTTTGCATTGGAATACAAATGGAATGCTTTCTGCTTAAGCAGTACCAGAGGGGACCCTCTTTATTTTTCTGATTATTAACAGATGTCATTGCAAAAGGTGTAAAAACCTTTCCTGGAAAGAAATTTGTCTCTCTGCAAAGTTATGTCAAAGCCAGTGCCTCACTCTTTCTCCATCTCCTTCTCTCCCTTCCCCTTTGCTTGGGTAGCAAAACGGACAGTGGACGACCCTTGGAACAAGGAGGTGAGATGAAGTGGAAATTCGGGGCTTGCTTTAAAGTTCCAGCCCCTCCTGTCGGGGGTGAGTGGATCTAAAAATATTGAGAATCACCAAAGCTGAGTGATGGGCATATGGAAACTAAAGTTTTCTTTTGACTTTGTGGTGTGTGTGTGTGTGTGTGTGTGTGTGTGTGTGTGTGAGAGAGAGAGAGAGAGAGAGAGAGAGAGAGAGAGAGAGAGAGAGAGAAAGAGATCTTGAGACTTTCTATTACAATAGAGTTCTATTATAATATAAGCTGCAGCACCTCCCCAGACTGGTTGGTCTGACTCTCAATCGGCCTTAAATTTGAAAGTGGTAGCTTGGGGCTGGGGAGATGGTTCAACATGTAAAGGGTTTGACTCACAAGCATGAGGACCTGAGTTCGGATCCCAGAATCCACATACAGCCAGAGGAGGTAGTATACATCTGTGATTTCACTGCCCTATAAGAGATGGGAGAAGGCAGGAGACCCATAAACACTTCTAGTGGGCTAGCCTGGCATTTGGCCACATTCAAGGCTGGCCTCTGACCTCCACAGGGTGTGTTTCCACTCACTCACACAAACCAAGCACAGACAGAGAAAGATGTTGCCTGGTGTAGCAAGTCCCTTCCTCCTTGCCTTAGTAACTTTTCTGGCTTCTGAAATATGCCTTCCCCCACTTATGGCCAAGTTCATTTGTGTCTACAGAGGATTATAAAAGTCATAACTTGCTGACTGGAGAATTGTGTTTAAGATCTGGTTTATGATTTAGAAGAGAGAATGTTAATACCTCAGCCAAGTAAGAGAGCTAGGCTAGAAAGTGCCAATCAAACCATGCGTGGAATTTCATTTTCAAGATGATTCTTCGTTGTGAGAAGGCTCCATGTAGATTTCCTCTCCACTTTTCTTGCACATATTTTAAAATGTGAGACTGCTCAGTATGTTCCTGGCTCATTCCAAGTCAAGTCGCCAGTGTGGATTAACTTTCTCTATTGAATAGATTGCTTTTCTTTCTGGGCCCAACACCCCAATATTCGACAAATACATTTTGTAATAGTGAGACCAGATGCAGGAAGTCAGAGGCTAAAGCTACTTTACCTTAGATGTTACAGATGGGAAATTTGAGGGGGGGGAACATCAGGGAAGACTGACATCAAGTTAGCAGTTCACAAATCATTGCTTTATGATTTTCAAATAAAAAAATTTAAATGTCCTACAGGTAAAACTGACGTGTGTTTAGCAAAATACATCATGACTATCAAATATAATGCACTTATTAGCTCTTCTTTTCTGGAAGTCCAAGTTAAAAATTAGAGCGACTTCAAGGGCCATGTGCAGTACACTTTTATACTAGCAAATGAAAAAGCTAGCAGAGAGTCGCTCCCTTGGGGCTACCTTAGCACCATTCATACAAAATTTGATTTACACACAGCAATCCATTTTATAAATTGAGATGTACATACCCTGGAATAATCGCAGGAAAAAGAAAGAAAAAGAAAAAAAAGGAGGTTTTGGTTTTTATTGTGATGAGAAACAGAAGTTGTGGGTTACTGTAAAATAATCAACTGTGTAACTTTACCATCTTCCTTTCCCTCAAGGACTGCCAAACTTTTAAAGCAGACATTGCTCTGTCTCCACTCCCGAAGCTGAACTTGAAAATAGAGCTATGGTATGTGATATTTTGAATAGCAATTGGCACATGGTCAATGAATCCTCTAGCCATTTTTTTTTTGTCCTCAGTGTAGAATTGGTGGAGAGCTTACCCTTAGTAATGGGTTATAAAGTATTTGATAAACATATGGAAATACTTGGCAGGTTCATGGCTTTCTTGCGTGTTGAAATGACTCACAGCACATTTTGTGGACTGTGCGGCAGTGCTGTAGGCCACGGTGGGAGTGTGCTGGCACTACAGCTGTTTTTGGAAAAACACCTGCCAGAAATTTGTCTGGCTGTGCACAGTGTGATCAGGACTCAGTTCATCACATGGGCTCTGGAACCTGGAGGTGGGTTTTCTAAGTGTGATAAATTCCACATGTGACAACTATTTGGTATACTGAGAACCAGTGATGCCTCCTCCATCTCCCATGTTTAAAAGCCAAGTCTGATTCACAGCTGAATGATGTAAGGGTAACGCAACCCCAGATTTGGTCTTGGCGGGCTTGCTTTGCCATCTAGTGGCAGCTTGACGCACAAGGCTGTCCCGTGCTGTGTTCATGACTGAGGCCAGCTTACTCACTCTACATTAAGAAGGTAATATCTAATCACACTTAAGCCTAACAGCGATAAGAAAAAATATACTGTACAGCAACAGATATTTATGGAATGAGCAACTAGGAAAGACATTCATTTGACCATCCTTGAAGAAATATAACAAAATGACCTGGACTGTACACGTGAACTAGAAACTATTAAGAAATAAAAGGGTGTTTAAAATGGACTCTTTTGGAACAGTGTGTTTGGGGAGCTGAGGAGCAGTTGGTAGAGTACTAATCTAGAACACATAAAGCCCTGGGTTGGATCCTTGGCACCTAATAAACCCAGTATGGTGACATAGATTTACGATCCCACCACTCAGAAGGTGGTGGGAGGACCAGACTTCTCTCATTTTTGAGGTCAGCCTGGGCTACATGAGAGTTTATCTCAAAAGAAACAAAATTACATATTCTTTAAACTTTGGATAATAGTTAATTTTAGAGTAGAATAATAATTTTTAAATAACACATGCATTGCCTGCTTACCATGCTCTGAGGGGAGTGGTAATTTTTTGTACATATCACCTCATTTGGTTTTAAAATACAAAACAGAACTTACTAGGTCTTCACTGTATACAAGAGGAAAATGAAACCTGGAGACTTGATAAACTACCTAAGTTCATATGCCTAATAGGAGAAAAGAAAAGATGGATAATTCCTGACCTGAACTTATACCCATTATGCTGGTATAGATACACTAATATTCTAAACTAATCAACCCCCACTTCTAAGAACAACAGATAATAAATGGTGGTCATAGACAGTCATCTCTTGTAATGATGTATTGTCACCTCTATTAGACAACCAGGTACATCTACAGGTGTTAGACTCTTACCTAATTCTTTTCTGCTGCACCTGTGTCTAGAATCCAATCTCACTTTTATTTTCCACTCCTGGGATTTGAGTCCCCAATCCAAGAAAGCCACCTGGAGACTGATAGCATTATATCCATACTATAATAGGAGATTGGGAAAAGGAAGGTGTGGGCACAGACATGGAAAAGAGATGCCTTTCCAATTGGGACCATGTCTCCTAGGTTACTGAGTTAGGTTTTCTGGATGATGGCTGTGTGTATCCCTATCCACTGGACTGTGGGCTGCTTCATCAATCAAAGCTATCATTTCCCTTGACATTTTCCATAAGGAAAACTTAGATTTTTCCAAAAGGGAAGTGTTCTTAGACATCTGTCCAATTTTAAATTACAGACCAAATTAGATGGGCTAACTAAAGCAGAGGCCCTCTTATTACTGTGATTTGGAGATCATATTGCAAGGCTCTGCCCTTGTTCATGGCCAAGGATAGACACTGGTATGGCTTTTATCCCAGTGGGTGCACTGCAGAGATGCTCCCAACAGGGATGGAAAAAGGATGCCATCACATGATTCATGGTCTCAGATGCAGGAGGCACTCACACAAACCTACAGAATTGGATGTTTCAGACATACAGCCACTTACATTGTATAAGCACAAATAAGTTGTGTTTCTTCTTTATTAAGTCTAAGCCATTTGATATTAGCAGGTGCTAACACAGTAAAAGAATTAAGTTTATTTCTACACAAAGTAGAAGCAGTTAAGCCAGCATCCCTGGGAAGAAAGCCTTTGATTCTAGGTCTCTGGTGACTTCAGTGTCACTCGGACTTTACTGAAGCTCAAAAGCATCAGGAAGTCTGGCTTAAACATAGCTATCTAAAAGACCTCACAGCCCTTCCAAGGGAGTTTGTAATTCTTTTCAGATTTTTTTAAATTTTATTTTATGCGTGTGAGTATTTGCCTGTATGAGTACCACATGCCTGCCCGGTAACTGAGGAAGTCAGAAGAGGGCATCAGATCCCCTGGAACTGGAACTATCGAGTGTTAGGATCCACCATGTGGGTGCTGGGAACTCAGCCTGGGTCCTCTGCAAGAGCAACACTTGCTCTAACTATTGAACCATCTCTCTAGTAACCCCTGGGAGACATTCTAACAGTAGGTGTGAGGTAGGCTTTGATAATTCGTTTGTGTGGTTTTTATTTTTTGTTTATTCTTTGAAAGGAGTGGAGAAAGACGTATTAGCTACAGTGGGCAAGGACCTGGGATTTGATCCCAAAACAATGCACTCCTCAAACAAAAGCAGAGTGGTTATTCTGTTTGTGGATCCTGTAAATATTCCTATCAGAAAGCACTTCAAGGGCAAATATGTTACTGTACAGTCTAAGATAACAGTTCAAGGAGAGATGGAAGACATGTGTGTGTGTGTGTGTGTGTGTGTGTGTGTGTGTGTGTGTGTGTGTGTGTGTGTGTGTGTGCGCGCGCGCGTTTAGCTTTAGGTCATGGAGCGCATGCCTGGAAGGTTAAAATGGCAGACAAGAACTCTTCTGGGCATGCCCAGTATCACCACAAAGAGAGCAGAGGGAAACATCTCTTAGCTTTCTTTTTTGGATTCTCATAGATGATTATCAACAAAAGCGTGTTTCTCATTTTTTCCTCCTGTTCAGCCACATCTCTTGTTGAAAACATTTTTCAAAGCATATTTTTAATTATGTGTGTGTGGGGCGGGGTATGCACATGTGAGTTCAGTCCCTGTGGAGGTCATTGGTGTCAGATTCCTCTGCTGCTGGAGTTGCAGGTGGTTGTGAGTTGCCTGACAGAAGTGCTGGGAACTGAACTTGGGTCCTCAAGTGCAGTATGAGTTTCTAAGGGCTGAGTTGTTCCTTCAGTCTCCCTTGTTGAAAATCTTGAAGAGAATCTCCTTATTAGCTAAAGATAGCACCAGAGTTACTTCTAGATCAATGCTCTCCCCCAACAAAGGAAGTTCAGTGTTCAAGAATTTAGTCATTAACAAGTTCCCAGGTATCATTGTACCTGCCCTGTGAATTCTGCCTGATGCAATGCATCCTCTTGGTGAGCGAGAACTGTTATCGTCTGTCTGGATACCTAGGAATCCACTCACTGGGAAATACATGCCTAGTGCTTCTGGTGTCTGTTAACAAGTATGATTTAGAAGTGACAGAGAGGTTTGAAGTTTTCAAAAGTATTGATCGTGACCCTTGATTCAGATAACAGAATTAAAAGTCTGTATGAGAAAGAAGTCGTTATACTTGAACACACATGAACTTTCAGAAGCCTCTCTTTAAAATCTGTTAGAGAGAAAGGGGACATGAAACTTGATATTCCAGTTTAGTAACTGGCATGGTGAACTCTGTCTAGTCAGTTAGCACCTAATATTTACATTCCATCCCTCTCACCCCCAATTAGCCTAAGAATTTGTAAGACTAAAAGCACTAGAAAAGAAAAAAGATCTAGCTGGGAACAATTCCATAGGATGGATGGAGAGTTAGCTTGGCTTTTGCCCAAGAATGATTGTTACTGATTGATTATTACTACATAGGTAATCACATGTAAAAAATATGGGAAGATTTCATGTATTTTGGTGTAGATAGCTGGAGACATCAGTCTTTGATATTAAGTCCATAATGAATAGTTGTCATAAGGGGCTTCCTTTAAGAAGCAACTTTTGGGCTGGAAAAAATTGTATATCAAATCATAAAACTCTCTTGTGCTGAACATGGTAGCACACACCTTTAATTGCAGTACTAGGGAAGCAGAGGAAGGCAGAACTCTGTGAGTTTGAGGCCAGCCTGATCTACATAGCAAGTTCTAAGCCATAGCTACATAGTAAGACCTTGTCTCAAAAACAAAACAAAAATAAACTCAAAACAAACAAACAAACATCTTTCTTGACTGAAATTTTGCTAAGAATGATGTCCTTCCCAAGAGTAGCCCCTTGGGAGAGGGGATCAAAACTAACTTCAGCTTCAGGGGTCCTCTGATTTGAACGTTGTAAAAATCATTTTCTAAGCCTTGATTTTTAAACTATTAGTTAGAAATTCCCTGCACAATAGGTCACAGATAACATAGAGGTTCAAAACTGCTTCAAGGAAGCTGTAGCATGTGAGCCTCAGCCCTACTAAGTGTGTATATTTACATGCTTGCATGCCTATGCACCTGGAGAAGAGGAAACTGCAAACAATAGAGAGACAACATAGCATCACATATTGGCAACTTTATTTAATATTAGGAAAGCTTAGATGATGAGACCCATGATGGAAAGAGACCATAAATGAAGAACCACGGCCTATGCTCCACACATTCTTAAACAATTTTCATATACAATTCCACTATGGACACTCTTTTACATAAACGGTGACTCCATGCAAAGCTTTACGTACAAATCTATAGGACATATTTCTTACTTCGGCATCAGGTGGCCTTTACTGTGTGTTTTCTTTACGGCAAAAGAGTAAAGACAGGAGGGAACCCACTACAGCTTTGTTACAAGGACTGCCAAAGACCAGGCAGCATGGTGGACTGCCACCCCAGCAGATAGCACTGCTTGCACTTAGAGTCACAAAAATAAAAAATGACGACATGAAGGTGTGATGGGAAGGGTTGGGGCAGTGCCGGGGAGGGCACATTAGTGGCAGGTAAGGCTAAGATACATGGTATATTTGTATGAGACTGTCAATGAAGAAATAAAAGATATTCTAAAGAAAAAATCAAAGGAGGGGCCAGGCCTGGTGATAACGGCCTAAGTTCCAGCTACTCAGGAGGCTGGAAAGATCATGGCCAGCCTGGGCAAAGGAGTAAGTTCAAGCAAGGTCAACTTGTGCAGCTGAGACTATCTCTAAATAAAAAGTAAAATAGTAGGTGCATGAAGCCCTAAGTTCAACTCCAGCCCTGTCCCCCTTCCCGAGCCCCTTTCTCTTCCCCCTTCCTTGTGGTGTGTGTATGTGTGTTGTGTCTGTATGTGTTGTGTGTGTCTGTGTTGTGTGTTCGTGCTGTGCATGTGTGTGTTGTGTGTCTTTGTGTGTCAGTATGTGTATGTGTGTTGTGTGTATTTATATGTGTATGTGTTGTATGTTGTACATGAGGGTCTGTGTGTTGTGTGTGTGTGTGCCTGTATGTGTATGTGTTATGTGTGTGTTTGTGGTGTGTGTGTGTGTGTGTGTTGTGTGTGAGTGGTATGTATGTGTGCCTGTGGTATGTATCTAAGCATATATAACTAGCTGATGAACTCATCTGTTTCTAACTGGGTGCTGATTCACAGCATCCATCATCTTCTGCAAACCCCCTATCAGGGGAGTCCTGTATCCAGTGGATGTTTTCAAACTCCGATGTCATTTACGTTTTAGTTGTGAAGAATTTATGATCCTACTTTCAAAGAGCTAAGTACCAGAAGGAACTGCAGGGTGCTACTTCTGTCTCTATTTTTAAGCAGTGAAGAAATAAGCATCTGGGAGAGTTTGTGGGTGAGACCGCTCCACAGCCCACTTTGTCCCATCCTGGGCTGTCTGGGGAAGTAGGTGGGGAGGGGAAAAGGGATCTATAGAGCTGATAGGAAGAGAGCTGGCTGAGAAACAACGTGGTGGCTTCATATCGGTTATGGGTCCACTCAGCGGAGTGTTGATCTACTCTCCAGAAGGTCTAATGTGGGTGAAAATGGGATCTATTCATGGGGGAGGTACACTGAGGACCTAGTATGTGAACGAAGAGGTAAGTTTTGTTTAAAAGAAAAGAGGCCCAAAACCATTCTTTCTTTTTTCTGTTTGTTTTTCAAAGGGAAAAATAGAAAAACAAGATGGAAAATATGTTATTTTGGTTGGTAATTTTCGTCTCTGGATGGACCCTCTCTGACGGGTCTGAAACAGAACCAGATTTTACGTGGCATTTGAGCAGACTACCCCGGGTTGTGAGTGAGAGGACCGTCCGTCTTGCCAGCCCCACGTTCCAGGCAGATGCTGGGGTCGTGATGACCAGAGTGTGCGGCATCGAATGTCAGGAAGAGCTGCCGGCGCCCAGCCTTTCCCAGCTCGAAGACTCACTTTCCTTTGAGACGGTCTTTGAGAATGGCACCAGAACCTTAACCAGGGTGAAAGTTCAAGATCTGGTCCCAGAGCCCACTCGAAACAGCAGCATGAAAGGACCACGCCCTAGGAGGAGGAGGAGGCAGGTGTACGGTACAGACAGCAGGTTCAGCATCTTGGACAAAAGGTTCTTGACCAATTTCCCTTTCAATACAGCGGTGAAGCTGTCCACCGGCTGCAGCGGCGCCCTGGTCTCCCCCACTCACGTGCTCACAGCTGCCCATTGTGTCCACGATGGGAAGGACTATATCAAAGGCAGTAAAAAGTTGCGGGTGGGAGTGCTGAAGATGAGAAATAAAGGAGGCCGCAAGAAACGCAAAGGTTCCAAGAGGAGCCGGAGAGAAGCAGAGGGTGGTGGCCGAAGTCACAGTGGTCAAGAGCATCCTCAGGAGAGCGCCACCCGAAGACGGGGAAAGGGATCCAGGAGGGGTCCGAGGGTCACCCAAGGGAGTCCCTCCTTCCAGTGGACTCGAGTCAAGAGCACCCATATTCCCAAAGGCTGGGCGAGGGGAGAGAGTGGGGACCCGGCCTTAGACTACGACTACGCCCTCCTGGAGCTGAAGCGAGCGCACAAGCAGCAGCATATGGAGCTAGGAGTCAGCCCCACCATCGCCAAGCTGCCTGGAGGCCGGATCCACTTCTCCGGGTTTGACAATGACAGGGATGATCAGTTGGTGTATCGGTTTTGCAGCGTTTCAGAGGAATCCAATGACCTCCTGTACCAGTACTGTGATGCTGAGGCAGGCTCCATCGGCTCAGGAATCTACCTGAGGCTCAAAGAGCCCGGCAAAAAAACCTGGAAGCGCAAGATCATCGCGGTCTACTCAGGCCACCAGTGGGTGGATGTACACGGGGTTCAGAAGGATTATAATGTGGCTGTGCGCATCACCCCGCTCAAATACGCCCAGATTTGCCTCTGGATCCATGGAAATGCAGCCAACTGTGCTTATGGCTGAGGAAAAACTGAAGCGAGTCCATGCACATCCTGAATGCCAGAGAAAGCCAGCTCTCAGAGACCACTCACAGGCTATGCTTGGACTCGGACCTATCGGTGGAATGCCAGTGTTTTTTACAGACTTCCTTTATCAAAACTAGGTAACTTTCTCTAAGTTAGAACGTTTAGGTACAGATAATGAAACTAGGTGGCACTTCAGCATCAAATATATACTCTATGTGGTGGTACATTTTGTTGCAGGAAAGCACAGTTTACTTGGGCCTTCTGTGAAACTAGACACTCTTTAAAAGGTCAAAGCAGAACTGTATTATGACTTCTCAATGGGCTTGCTCTTAGAGCCCTACTCTAGGAAGAACCAGGTCTTCTGTGAAACTAGACACTCTTTAAAAGGTCAAAGCAGAACTGTATTATGACTTCTCAATGGGCTTGCTCTTAGAGCCCTACTCTAGGAAGAACCAACTTGAATGGAAAAATACCAAGATTTGTAGTAACACAATTAGAATCGGGAGACAAGGATGTTAAGAGATGGAGCCATTCCGTTGTGCTCCTGCCCTCAGTGTTTATATGCATTTTTCTCTTGGTACCAAGAAACTTATTTTAAGAACTACAGATCAAAACATAAAAATTCCAAATCAAAAGAAGCAGTGAGCTTTATAAACAAAACTATTAACTATGGTTTTATAAAAAGAAATAACAAATCAGTATCAATGTGTCTGTCAAAAACTAGAGAAACACTTTGTTCTGTGCAATGAACCAACTTTAAGTATATTGAAAGCAGAGGTAGTTTTTTTTTATTATTGTTTTGTTTTGTAGCCCTAGCTGTCCTGGAACTCACTCTGTAAACCAGGCTGGCCTCGAACTCGCAGAGATCCACCTGCCTCTGCCTCTGCCTCCAGAGGGTCTGGATCAAAAGCGTGGGCTACCACCGCCTGCTTGAAAGCTGAGACACTTTAAGATCTCCAGTTTTTATTTAACTAATTCTCAAGATAGGAAGCTTTCAAGGAGTGCAGAGAGGCCTCTTCACAAGCTATGATCCTGCCTTGAATGCCAGGTCCTGTCGTGTCGTACTGTTTACTGTGTGTAAGGTGCTATGCTTTTAGAGCAAGGAATTTTGAAGTCTTTTTAAAAAATTAACCCACTTGCCCCAAACCCTGAGATAGCAAAGATGGTTCTGATGGTTCTCATTAGAGACCCAGGTGGCATCGTCACTCTGGCTCCCAAGTAGCATTAAGATGTTAGTCACCAGCTAGAGCAAAATGCAGAGCAAGCACTTAGGGCATTCCCCATGAACGGACAAGTGTGGGGTGGATGGCTACAAACAGGGTTAGGGCAGGGCATTATGCTTAAGCAGTTTCGATGATATACTCAAGTACACTCTAAAATTTAGTAATCAGTGCCTGATCTTCGCTCTATTCTTTCTGGCAATGTCTTTTCTTTTCTTTTCTTTTTTCTTTTTTTGGTTTTTGCGAGACAGGGTTTCTCTGTATTGTTTTAGAGGCTGTCAGTCCAGCCCGGCCTCGAACTCACAGAGACCTGCCTGCCTCTGCCTCCCAAGTGCTGGGATTAAAGGCGTGTGCCACCACCGACCTGGCCTTTCTGGCAATTTCTAAGGCCACATATTCTTCTCTCATGACACTCTCAACTCACTGCTGGGGTGAAATCTTTTTTCTTTTAGAGGTGACCAATAAAGACTATAAAATAAGAAATTGTTATTCCCTATTTTTGTTTTCTGGTATATTCTTGATTAGTAGGCAAAGTGGTATCTTTGTTTGGGTTAGTGTAATGATTTCATAAATGGTGCTGAAAATATCCGCCATTCTTTTATAATGTGAGTTGTTAAAAATAGTTCAATAAAATTAAAAAACAAAGTGTATGACTGTGTTTATATATGTGTGTGTATGTTTTAGTTAAAAGACTTTAGAAAATATTCAATTAAGTAGAAAGTATTGTCTTTAATACTCATCTCATTGACAGGCAGTCTATCATTGGCTTCCAGTACCAGAGAAACACACACTGAAAAACAGATTCATTTTCTTTGGGGTGGGATAATACGTACAGTCTCTGTATTAGTTACTTTTCAGGTCAGTGTGGCAAAATACCCGACAAAAGCAACTTAAGAATGTCTTAGTTTTGTTGTCTGGTTTTCTTACCTTCATAGCTTTTCTAAGAATGTCAGCATAATACATGATTCTAGAAACTATCATCATAGTTGCAAATAATACTATGCTGTTTCATCTCCTATTCATGAAAATGGACTTGAATGTCCTCAGCAGACTGGCAGTCATGTTTTCCTGCAGAGCTGCATAGATGTAGAGGAATTTGCATGTGTGGGGGCTGATTTATGAGCCAGGGAGGCCAGTGTGTGGCAGACTCTGTCTGAAGGTAGACCTCCTCCCTTGCCCACTGTGACAGTCTCTGTCTGAAGGTGGCTCTCCTCTCTTGCCCACTGCTATGCTATCCCTAAACTTGCAGCTTTCAAGGTCAGGATATGCTTAGATTCTATCACAAAACAGAAGGAAGCCTTTATCCAGCAATGGGCTGAAAATAAATGTTGGTGTTTTTAAGACAGAGCTGAATTTAGTATTCTGCAGAAGGCTTTGTGGCTTGGGGAAATAAGTCACACTGTTGTACTCACCAAATAGCCAGTTGTGTCACTCCATGTAGTCCAGGATGTAACTGATGTGGTTCCTTAAATGGATGTCTTGGGCACTCGCCCACTCACAGATCACAGCATCCCTGTACCTAAATTAAAGCGTGGTTTTGGTGGAGGCACATAGGCCATCATGTGACATGAACCACCTTTTCAGGACTAGTAACTAAAGTTCTCCATTCTTACACTGGAGGAAACAAGGGCTCTGTGGCTTTCCTATTCTACAGCATTCAGAAACTCTCCTTTGCTAGAATCATCTATAAAAGTCAGCTGGAGCATCAGACTGTCAGCCTCAGGCAGCGTCGGTTTCCCTCAAGGTGGAGGTTTCCAGATTTGGTTAGCAGTAAGAAGGACCCAGTGAACCACCTGAGCCACCCAGGTGCTAGGGCTCCACAGAGACCTAACCTGAATCCCTAAGAGAGCCTAGCATTGCAGATCCGACTAAGCTCTGGATTAGCTTCCAGTCATGGCCACAGTCTCTCCCACAAAAGAAAGGCTCCCCTGCCTCTTGCAGCTCCCAACCAAGCTCAGGGCACTTAGTCTTCCTTCTGGGTTAAATGCTTTCTCAGGTTTCCCTGACTTACACCTTTCTTACAATTTACTTTAAAATACTTTGGTGAGGAGAGTGGTAGTGTAAATGATCAAATACATAGACGATACTCTTTTTAATGTTTTTACCAAATTAAAAAAATTTAGGAATAGAATGGCTATAACACCATTTTCCTATGATAAGAAAGAAATCAAGTTTGCAAATTCCTAAGTATATATGATCCATTTACAATAAAAGAAAAAAATTCAGTTTTATTTAATTCCCAGAAATTAGGTGCTATTTTTTCTTTTCTTTTCCACAATTCATCTTATTACTTTGGTGAGATCAAATACAACTCAAGGAGCTTTCATTGAGTTAAATCTTAAGTTCTTAGGATGTGGGGTTACATTTTAGACTCTATTCTTCCCTCCAAGAATGCCCAATTTAGAGAGGATTGCACACACACAGGAAGGCAGGAAGTGTGACTCTGAAGAAGCCCACTGAGAAGTGGGTTCTGCTAGAGTGACCAAGCAGGCTAGAGGGAACCGGTTCCTGGAGGAAGCAATGCTTAGACTAGCTAACCTACAAGTGTGGAGCTGACGGTGAGGGGGCAGCCTGGAGCCAAGTTTCAGGAGGCAGGGAGAGGGCCACTCCAGGGCTTAAGGTAGACTTGCAGACTGCAGTCAGAGCTCCCAAGTGGTGAGCAACACCAGGAAGCCTTACTTCCTGGTGAGGCTAACATGGAAAGGGCATGACTGGAGTTATAACTCATCACCAAGAACTGATGCAGGTCTTCAAGTCAGAGGAACGGCGTGAAAGGGGACCGGAGAGAAGGATGCCCTCTAGCCCTTCTGGGTCGCAGTGGGCAAGTTTGGGTAGAGTACACCAAAGACCCACAAGTGCTGAAGGAAGCGCAGTGAGACCAGCAGGGGAGGGCAGCTGCGGGTACCCAGGCCAGGGAAGGCTACAGAGTGAGAGTGTCCAAGATGGAGGAAGGGAGGGAGGGAGGGAAGGAGGGAGGCAGGGAGGGAAAGAGATAGGAAATGTGCAGGACACCTGTTGGTCACTGAATGAAGGAGTTAGAATTGTGGGTGCTGGGCCATTTAAATACTTTTTATTCTTTATCTTTTTACCATTCTTACAATGAAAAAAATCAAATCTATAGCAAAAATAGTCACAGCAATTAAAAGATTTAAAACTTGCCAGGTAGTGGTGGCACACACCTTTAATCTCAGCACTCAGGAGGCAGAGGCAGGCCTATCTCTGTGAGTTCGAGACCAGCCTGGTCTACAAGAGTTATGTCCAGGACAGCCTCCAAAGCTACAGAGAAACCCTGCCTCGAAAAACAAAAACAAGCAAACAAGATTTAAAACTTAGCTAATGTGCAAAGGTGTTTTATCTGCATGTATGCTTGTGTCTGGCAGTGTGCCTCTTGCCTGCAGAGGCCAGATGCAGGTGTTGGAATCCCAGGACTGGAGTTACAAACAGTTGTGAGCTGCCACCTGGGTGCTGGGAGGGAAACCCGAGTCCTCTGTTTTTAACTGTAGAGCCATCGTTTCAGCCCACATTGAAATTTTTTAAGTAACAACAGCAGTATTTACTGAGTGTTACACTGTGCCAAATGCCTCCTATTCATTATCTTATATGATTCGTACACAAGTAGAAGGCACCTCATTCCACAGAAGAGAAAATGAAAACTTAAAGAAGATCAACAGTTTGCATGAGGGTGGGTGGTTGAACTGGGAATCCCCTTCCATGCAGTCATTCACATTCCTGCACAAGCATCATTAAAAAGATTAATGTGGGGATGCTGAGTGGGCATCTGAAAAGTCACAACTAATGGCAAAAATGAAATTACTGTTCCCCCCACCCCCAAACATGTAATCCAGCAAGTCTTTTAGAATTAAAGACCATGGTAGGTGGCTTCCTAAGGATCCCCAAGACTCTTTTAGGGGCCTGTCAGACCAAAACTATTTCTATAATACCACTGTGTGTTTTTTCTTATTCTACACGCATCATCACACAGGGGACTTCTCCAGCCAACTGTTTGGCACACGTATTGTAACGGATGGAACACAGCCTTGGAAATGGATAGCTATCCTTTGCTAAGTCTAATTTAAAGAGGTATGTGATTGAGAGCTACAGGCAACTAAGGAGTGCTGAGAGCCTGAGAAACAGTTTTGCCTAGGGAAGAGTACTCCAACTGCTTACCCAACACCAAACTGCCAGCCCTGAAAACATACATACAAGTAACATTACAGAGTCCAAGCAAGTTATATTTAGGAATATGCATGTATGCACATATATACTATATATATGTGCATATAATAACAATCAATGAAAAAGGAGTTCATGGATTTGCAAGAGAGAAAGAGCATGTAGGAAAACTTGGAGGGAGGAAGGGGAAGAGGAAATGATGTAATTATAATCTCAAAAAATAAATTTAAAAATGAAAAAGAGGTGTGAAAATGGCAACACACCATGGTTCTTCTAGATTTCTTTGTAGAAATTTTAATTTTCCACAAAACATCATTAATCTGGAATGTTTTAACACTTCTGCTGTAAAATGAATTAAGTGGAAAAATTAAAATTTCTCAGTTTTATTCTCTATAAACACTGACAGGTACAGTTCACATAAACAAAAGCTTTTAAGGATCTGCAGTAAGTTACCTGGTCCAAAGGGTTCTGAATTTGAAAGTCCTTGCTCTGAAAACAGATTATATATATATATTTTATACTAGAAATTAAGCCTGCATGTCAGATGTAGAAATGAATTTGGAAGGCCATGTTCCAGAAGACTGAGAGTTGAGGGATCACTACTGTCTCACTAAAAATCAAACAGCACAGGCCTTCCCTTCTCTACAAGGCTGCAATCACAGGGGACACACACACACACACACACACACACACACACACACACACACACACACACACACACGCGCGCGCACACACACACACACACACACACACACACACACACACACGCACGCGGCATACATGTGTTCTTGTATCAATTTATGTGCACCATGTGAATTCAGATACCCCCGAGGCCAGAAGAGGGCACTGGATATCCTGGAACTGAATTTGCAATTGGAACAAAAGGTTGTGATCTGCCATGTGTGCTGGGAACCAAACCAAGTCTTTGGCAAGAGTAGTGAGTGTCCTTAATCACTAAGCCATCTCTCCACTCCCATAAGCAGGCATTTCTTTAAAGCCCAAGACAATTAATTAACAGCAAAGTGCCACAAAAGATGTTGTTTCAAAAATATAGAGCAACGTGAGTCTTCAATGTTGGGACCCATAGAAATGACTCTGTTCCATCTTCAACCCAATACCATGGGTAAGTTACAGATGTCCTGTAGAGTATCTCAAATGATTTGAGTCTTCAGCACCCAGAAGATCTCATGCAGGATCACACCTCTAAGACCATTCACTCACAAGGACATCAGGAGTCTCTGTACAGCCAAGATCTATGACACTCCTACAGTCTGCCTATTAAAAACTTAGACCACATGCAACAGTCAAGGGGTGGAGGGAGAAGCACACAAAAACAATCTTCAAATATTTTGTAATCGAAAAGGCGATTTTAGTATGGCAACTAAGTAATATACGGTTAAAAGGTAATCTACTAAAATCATCCGAGGGAGCTGGAAAGATGGTTCTGCAGTTAGAGAGTACTTGCTGCTCTCACAGA